GGGTGCCACCTTCCTGATGGGTAGGTGCAGCAGGCAGTGACCAAATTGAGAAAGAACCTATGATGGGCTTTCCTATGAGTGATAACGTATATGTGTAAGCTGAAAGGAGAAACAATGGCTGTTCCCAGGGGCAGGGAAGCAGTCCCCCAGCTGCTGGATGGATGGCTCTGCTCTTGTGGCTGCTGTTCTCATTTAGTGAGAGCTAGCCTGCTGAGCAACAGTGCCTATGAAGCGGTGGGACACCCAAAATCTTAGATGAGCCCACCTGTGCTCAGTAGGATTAAGGGGTTAGTCCAGAAGCAAACCCTAACTCCCGTGTTTAAGGGAACAGCACTGATGCCAGCATCAGGGAATAAATCCGGTCCCTGCACTGCAGTAGGGTCCAGCTGTCCACTGGGGGCCAAGGAGAAGGTCCCACTAGACCCCCGGCCCAGCAGTATGGGGTCAGGAAGACAGGCACCCTGAACAGCGAACAGAAGGCTGACTCCTTTATTCTCTCTTACTGAGTCCTCCACTTATCTCCCCTAACAGAAAATAGGAAGGGTGTTTTTGTGGTTTGGGCTTGTTGTTTCGCTTGTGTGTTTGTGGTAGCATTGGCTTACGATGATGGTTGTGATCTAGCGGTGCGGGCGGTTACCACACCCCCCCCCAAACACCAGCGTCCTCCACCATACCATTGTAGTCCCCCCAACTTGGCCCCACCCTTCCCCATTCCCTCTGGTAGCCTTAGCTCCATAGTCAGATTTGTCAGGGGTGCGATGGTTTGGTTTATCTGACCCTTTGTTTTGTTTCTCTATATTCTACATGTGAGTGCCCCCATCTGGTGTTTGTCTATCTCTTTCTGACTTATTTCACTTAGCGTCATTCCTCCAGTTCCATCCACAATGTTGTAGACGCAAAAGTTTGTCTCTTTCTGCAGCTCTCTATTAGACCACATCTTCCGATGTCCTCATCTGTGTTTGGGCAGTTAGCTTATTTCTGTAGCTTGGCTACTGTAAACATGTTCCCAGGCACGCAGGGGTGCACATTTCCCAGGGAGGAGGTCTTTTTGTGGGACTCATTTGACTTTATATCGGAGGACACTTTGGAGCCAAAGAACTATAAACATGGAAGAGTTAGCTGAGATTAATTAAGGCTTACTTGAGATTTTTCTTCATGCTCACATTTTCATTTAATTTTTAAACTTGTAAACTTTGGTTTTGGCTCCCTTTGTTATACAATTAATGTAGACCCATAGTAACACATTGAAGCAATCCAGACATACAAAGGAAAAGGTCGGTGTGTGATCTGCTCTCCCAACCACATCCCTACCCCTGTCCTAGAGACCAGAAATACAATACTGACAATCTGGTGCACCTTAAGGTTTGCTCTTGAAATATAGTTTCTTTTCTTTAGACTAGGGACTTAGTGGGTGTATGCAAAATCTATTTCAAAAATGAGATTCCACACAGATTCCCAGCCACCAAGGGCAGGATGCAGATACCTTTACACAATGCCCAGTGCCTTGCCCAGTACCTTGGAGCAATGACCACTTCATTAATACTGAAATAAAAAGGTGCAGGTGGGCCCTCTCTGGTGGCGCAACGGGTTAAAGCATAGCACTATGCAGAGTTAAAGCACAGAGCTATGAAGCTAGCCGCAGCTGCTTCAGCACTAGTTTGATTCCTAGCTCCGGATGTGACCCACACGGCGTGGCAGACCTCTCCTGTCTCACTGCTGCTCCTCTCAGCAGTGTATTTCAATCAGTCCACCTGTTCTGCTCCCCACTCTGTCTCTAGTAAATCCTCTCACCCCCTACACCTCTGGCTTGTACCCCACTTCTGGTATGCATAAATAAATGCATACAGAACTGGGGTACAGGCCAGAGGTTCAGGTGTGGTGAGAGGATTCACCAGAGTCAGAGTGGGGAGCAGAACAGGCAGATGGACGAAGTACACTGCTGAGGGAATCAGCGGGGAGATAGGGTGGGGGCTGGACTGAACTTGAGCTGAAGCAGCTGCAGCTAGCTTCACAGTGCTGTGCTCTAACCCGTGTGCCACCAGGGAAGGCCCAATAAATCAATCTTTATATAAATAAATAAAATCCCAAACTAGCCATTCCCTCCTGGACCAAAGTTCAACTATAACAGGCAGGGCCCAAAGTAGAGCTGGCAGGAAAATGAATCTCAGATACCTCCTAATAGAAACAAGAAGTTGGGCTGGGGCCAGAAGCTCGGGGTAAAGGAGAGAACCAGAGTTCAAAATGCACCATTCATGCTGAATCCACAAGAAAGTCAAGATGGCTGCCATAATCTCTGAAGGGAGCTGAAGCATAGTGCCTGCCAAAGTATTAAGGGCAGGGAAGGAAGAGTAAAGACCAAGAGGACCCTCTCCACAGGTCTTCTGTTCCTTCTCCTTTTCAAGGATAGCTGTGTAGTGCCTTCCTTCTGTTCCAAGATCCCCCACTTAGGAAGTCAGGTTCATGGGTTGCTGGAAGTCATAATGCTTGGGCTGTTTTCTTGCCTCTGGAAGAGTAATTGCTCATCTTAGAACATGTGCCAGATGATCAGGCCAGACACTGTTCAAGCAGAAGAACCAGAGGTTCTGTCAACCAGGGACTCAGAGACCCATGGGGTATAATTAGGAGCATCTTCAGTGGGTCTCTATATCTGAGGGTTTAGGGGTTGCTTCCTCACTAAAACTTTTTTTCTTGATATGTTTTAACATTGTCAATGTCAAAGTTCTTAGGTATATTAAGGGGTCTAGCAAACTGATCACTTAATCACTAGGAGTTCTCTACCCCATGTGCATTCAGGGGCTCCAAAGAGTTGAAAAAATATATAATTTTTGATGACTGCTATAAGCTTAAGGGCAAAAAGATCACCTATTCATCTTACTCTTTAAAAAGGCCATGTCTTTGGAATTATTAATGAGTAAGCAATAGGAAAAAATGGAAATTTAATACACAATTAACGAGGCATGTTTATTTCATAATTATGTCATCACATCTTTTTTCCTCCTTCATATCTCATGCTTATCAATAGCTAACCTATCACGTAATGGAAATTGCCTTAAATTGTAAAAAAAGATGAAAGGTGCCCTTTTCCGGATGGTAACAGCGCCACCTGGCGGCTTTTAAACTGTCCTCACTGAGGAATGTCAAACCCAAACTTGTGGGTCCTGCAACTACAGGCAGAAACGATGCTCCCTTTTGGCGCTTAATACAATAACTTTTCTCCTTTTTGAGTGGTTTAATTTTTAACTTTATGTATTGTGGAGTTTTTTTGTGTTCATATATTTTCTTTTTTTTAGGTAGTCGCCTATATTTTTTCAGAAAAGAATGAATTGAATTCGGTATTAAATTATAGTAACTGCCGTTACATATTCAATGTTCTATCTTCTGAAGCAGTTATCTTTGTTTTTCCAGCCACACTTACTGTCACCTCAACAAACCCAGATACCTCCTCTTCCACAACAACCCCC